AAATCCTTGGTGCAGCATAATTTGCTATAGGATCACTACGGACAAGTTCTACTTGGAATACAAAACTAGAGGCTCTCAAGAGCCTGTGTCGCTCACCTGATTCTACTTTGGTTTTGGAAATCATATTAAAATAGATTAAAATCATAAAATAATGAGTGAGGCCAAATTTGGTTTAATATTGGCCCTGTAATTTAATAAAAAAATCCTGGTGGCCATCTTCAACAGTAAATCAGCAACAAAGTAGCAACACTTCATCAGCACCTCATAAGAAACATTATGCCATGTTTGGTTTCATTCCATTCAGTGCACCTCTAGAAGAAGACATTTGTATGTATTTTCAATAGGGTCTTATGTTAAAGGAAGTCCCCCTGCTGGTGGCCATCGTGGATGAAGGATCGGCTTCAAAGTAACAACACTTAGTCAGCACCTCATAAGAAACATTCATGCCATGTTTGGTTTCAATCCATTCAGTGGTTCTCTAAAAGAAGACATTTGTATGTATTTCCCATAGGGTCCTTTGTTAAATACTGTCCCCAGCTGGTGGCCATCTTGGATGATGGATCGGCTTCAAAGTAACAACAATTGGTCAGCACTTCATAAGGAACATTCATGCCATGTTTGGTTTCATTCCATTCAGTGGTTCTCTAAAAGAAAACATTCGTATGTATTTCCCATAGGGTCCCATGTTAAACTAAGTCCCCTGCTGGCGGCCATCTTGGATGATGGATCGGCTTCAAAGTAACAACACTTGGTCAGCACGTCATAAAGAACATTCATGCCATGTTTGGTTTCATTCCATTCAGTGGTTCTCTAGAAGAAGTTCAAAATGTAAAATGTTAACGACGATGACGGACGCGAGTTTGTTAAACCAGATGTGTAAGTATTTGAATGAAAATTTAAAACTGAATTGTGAAAAAAATTCAAATTGATTGTACACTTTCCCATGGTAAGTACAGGGAAATACTTTGTATAAAGCCTTAATATTGATACTACATATTTATCAGCTTACTACAAAGTCTCATACTGATAGTGAAAAATCTTCAAGTGATACCACTCTGTTATTATCTTCTAAAATATACATGTATCTATCATGAAACAAGATTATTGGAAAATCCCATCACATCTATGGTAACTCAATGATGTATTGCTGTTCTTTAAATTGATCTTTGTAATGATAATAGAATAATATGGCTATACTTTACAATTGATTTAAATCATATCACCTTATATACCAGATTTGAATTATATAATTCAAATCTAACCAACTTTCAATTTTTTAAATGATCACAAAACATTTGAAGACTTAACAATAGTACTATGAAATACTTGAAAATGAATTGCACATGAAGCTTTTGTAAGCTAAGAGTTTTTGGAGTTTGAAGATCTATTAAATATCAAATATGTAATTCAATTATAATTCTAAATGTACTGTAATAACTGAGAGCTTTGAGAATGTGTCTGGGAGACCCAGACATAACGTCATGATTGCTGTAAATGGGCTGTCCATTAACAAGTGATACCAAGTAAAAAGAAAATATAGATTTTGTATAAAAGTAAATGGGTGGAGAGATAAATTCGATTGTAATGCTAACACTTGAGAATTAATGTAAAAAAAATTTACATCAAGATATTTATAAAATTAAGATAGGTGAGGCAGTTTATGCTAAAATTTAGAAGCTATTTTAGAGAATCAATTCTTAAATTAATGAAAAGGGCATAAAAGGTTGTATATCTATGATGTAGGGTTGTGTGCTTCACTTGTGATCTAATCTCCTTTTTTTTTTAAATTTTAAACAAATTAAGTGTTTTTAAAATGAAATTTTGACTTATTTAATCATGTATTAATTTATTGTTACATAATTAATGAAGTAACATGAATTTTACTCATAAGTTACAATGATAGTAAATTATCCAATTTCACATTGTCATTATCGATTTTTACTTACAAAACAAAATATAGCAACTTTGAAAAATTGAAATATAACTTTAAGAAATATCTAAATGAATTGTTAAATAAGACGTCAACATTACTGTTTTACTTGGGGCATTGGACCTCCTTTTTTTTTATTTTTATTTATTTTTTACTTTGATATGGTACTTTGTATTTAGTAAATTCAAAATTCTTAAATATTTCATTTTTTGTTAGTTATTTTTAAAATGTGTTCTTGCTCCTATTCATACGATGTTACAATAATAGTAGATGATACGTACTGTCCCTCTATTTTATGTGGAAACTAAGTTAGAGGGACAGCCCATATTTCTTACTGTTATTGTTGGACCTTACGAGTATATGAGTATATATACTCATATGGTCCTGAACATACCCACTTCACTAATGAGGGCAAATATACAAAGATATATAAAGATCCTATTGAGGATTCTTTTTAATCTATAGTACAAAGCTCCTAACCTTAAGCTCTTCATTTTTTTAGATATCATATGATAAGCAATCATGTGACAAAGGAAATCCAGAAAACCAGAAAAACAAAATTGTGTCCTTTAAAAAAAGTACAAATATAATACTACACACAGGAAACATTTCATATAAATGGTTAAAATATCCTTGATAAATCTCATTAAAAAGACAAGCTTGAAAAATTTAATACCAAATTCCTCTAACGGCAGTCCTAACAAATAAAAAGTTTAATATATAGTTCAATATTCTCTTTGAGGAGTCTCTATAAAATGTTAATGGTGCCTTTTAAATAAGATTTAAAATTTTAATTTTATAAACCATTGAACTGTGGTACTGATTTTTTTTTCATGTTTGAATATCAATAGGGCACTTGCTGAGAAAGAGTTAATATAAAATACTTATCAATTAAATATATAAGTAAACAAGATATAAACAATCTACATAGTGAATCAGATTGGAAATTTGACTAGAGCTGATAATAACAGAGATCAATGTGTATAAAACTTGTATAGCGCTAACCTCCCACTTAAAAAACGAAATATTTCTGCACTAAATTTGATAACAAGTTGATAGTCTGCATATGGTTCATCAATTCTTGAAGTGTTCTGTTTTTTAGAGGAATTTGGTTCTTGGAGAATTCTTTACATCCGGTCTATAGTACAACTAGGTTTCTCACACTGAATGACCAATTGACAAAAGCCAAAACAATCAGATAATTTCTCATGGTCACACTTCAAATGCCAAAACAATCATAATTTCTCATGGTCACACCTCAAATGCAAAAAAACAATCAGAAAATATCTCATGGTCACACCTCAAATGCCAAAACAATCAGATAATTTCTCATGGTCACACTTCAAATGCCAAAACAATCAGATAATTTCTCATGGTCACACCTCAAATGCCAAAACAATCAGATAATTTCTCATGGTCACACCTCAAATGCCAAAACAATCAGATAATTTCTCATGGTCACACCTCAAATGCCAAAACAATCAGATAATTTCTCATGGTCACACTTCAAATGACAAAAAAATCAGATAATTTCTCATGGTCACACTTCAAATGCCAAAACAATCAGATAATTTCTCATGGTCACTCTTCAAAAGCCAAAACAATCAGATAATTTCTCAAGGTCACACCTCAAATGCCAAACAATCAGATAGTATCTCATGGTCACACTTCAAATGCCAAAACAATCAGATAATTTCTCATGGTCACACCTCAAATGCTAAAACAATCAGATAATTTCTTATGGTCACACTTCAAATGCCAAAACAATAAGATAATTTCTCAGGGTCACAAGAAATTTTTCAAATATATCAAATTTTGGATTTAGTGCTTTGAATTAAAATCAAATAAGTTTTTTCTCTCTGTACAATAAAAAAGTATTATCAATACCAATAACTGGGGGTTAGATTGAACAGCTACTGAAATGTGGTCCTAAAATTACTTTTGATTTGTAAGTAAGGTCTATAGACATAATGATGAAACGTTCATTAAAACCTGTATCATTTACCCTTCACCAAAGCATATTATTGTGTAATTAAAAAAGAGGACTATCATAGCATCAATTAAACAATATTTCATGTTTTTATTAAGTTAGCTCAGTAATTGCAGAAAAAAAAATTGATACCAATTTTTACCTTCACGTTATGTCATTGACCATAGTGAGGTCGATCTGTGTGTAACGGTCAACACATTCTTATTTTAGAACTACATATTCTAATGATTATATAGGATAACAATGCATTAAACTAGCCAAGTATTGGATTTTTAGAGTAAATTGTTAATATGACCAACAAAACAAACTTAATGCTATTACTATTACTTATTGTAGATGTATTAAGTTCTGTAGTCAAACATTAGGTCTATATATATAATCAATACTGACTAATATATACTGTGTGACATGCATTTCGATTTATGAAATGGCAATTGAACAAATTTCCTATAAAATAAAAGAACAGAGTTCCAATGTCCCCCGCGTTGCACATATTTTATATTTCCAAGGGGCATAACTCTTTTAAAAAAGTCAATCGTCCACCATTATAAAACTTGTCCGAGATATTGCTGATATTAAGCTATAGATAAGTTTTATAAAAATCTGGTTAGAATTGTACCTGTGAGAGCTAACGAGGCCATATTCCATAAATTTAATATTTCCAAGGGGCATAACTCTTTAAAAAAAGTTGATCGTCACCATTATAGAACTTGTCCGCGATATTGCTGATATTAACCTATAGTATAAGTTTTATAAAAATCTGGCAAGAATTGTACCCGTGAGAGTGCTAACGAGGCCATTTTCCATAAATTCAATATTTCCAAGGGGTATAACTCTTTGAAAAATTAGTCGATCGTCCACCATTTTCGAACTTGTCCGAGATATTGCTGATATTAACCTATAGTGTAAGTTTTATAAAAATCTGGCAAGAATTGTACCCGTGAGAGCGCTAACAAGACCGGACGGACAGACGCACGCCTGGTATTTCCATGTCCCCCGCAATACGTTACACAGGGGACAAAACTGTCTGAAAGCATTGATGTTGGTTTTTTTTTGTGTTCAGCAAGCAGGCAAACTTACTAAAAAATGGTCAGATGAAATACTTTTTGCCATGTGTTTTGGTGCCATTGATTGGCTGGTGGTAGCTCTTTGCTTTTGCTGCAGTGGACTTTCATTTCTATATCTAGGTAATTTGGCAGAGTAGCTCCTGCAATGAAAATAATTTTTAAGCAGTACATTTCATGAACCAATCATTGAATTCACAGAGGACTAAATTGTGGTTTGTTTTCTTATAATGACAATTCTGTTTTATAATCTAAGATAAAATAATATAATCAACAGCACCAAAAAAAATGTGTCAATTCCTTTGACTGGCACAGAAAAATGTTTAGGTAAAAAATAACTAAAATAAAAATGTTAATGGCAGTCCTTGAATTTACATTTCATAAAAGATAAGGATAAAGTGTGAATCATTAGCAAAAAGGGGTAACCTTGTCCTTGAACAAATCTTTTAAACATACCGGAATACTCAATGAAAACAGAAATAAGATTTTAATGACAAGATAGATAAGATCACAGTAAATAATGCCCTGATTTAGATATAAACTAAGTTGTTTATATAAGTCATTTAAAATACCAAACCAATACAGGTAAACTAAGTAAGTTATGTATAATCAGGTGTTAACAGTTAACCTGATCAGGTATCCACCCTTAATGTCAGCAGTTAAAGGTCATAAGTCGTCTAATGAGATCATGTCAGTATGAGGGACTATAAAAAACTGACATGTCAGCAAGGACCTTGTTTGTACATTTTTGTGTGAGGCACAAAAAAAAAAGTTAGCACTGATGCAATCAAATCAACACATGTTACTGGGGTATTCATTTTTGTGGATTTCGTGTTACAAGCAAAACATGAAATTTAGTGCCTAATGAAATACTTATTTTTCATTGAGTTCCGATTTATAAATCTTAAATCCATGTCACTATTGTCTTGCCTTGACTAAGTTGTGAAAGTGAGACTTAGACCCGATATCTGGCAGCAGCAGCGTCAAATATGTATTGGTTTGTGATGTAGGTCAATGATATTTAGTATGAAGTTGTATACCAGGTAAGCATTGGCACATCTAATCTCCATGGAGAATTGGTCCTACACAATGTCATGTTCTATTTTGCTCAGCTTACATGTTTAAGTTGTGATCAGGTCAGTTTAAGGGGAACCACTTATGATAAGTCAAAGGTATTTGGTATGTAGTTGTATAAGCAAAGGCATTTCTCATTTCCATGGCAAATATTTGGCCCGTACTTTCAGACACAATTCAGAGACTTGAATGTTTTGCATAGTTTACATGCTGAAGTATTACCATTAGAATTTCAACATGTGCATTAATGCTATCAAAATAACATATAGGCAAGACAAGGCTCTGTGCCAACAGTTTATTCAAATTGGGAGCAACAGATACATGTTTGTGTGTATTTTGAAAATTCGATCTGACAGTTAATTTTTTACACCAGTAAAAAATTCATATCATATATTCTACCTAGATATCATATTTCGTTGAAATCTGAGAACTTTGAATGATTACGTAGTTTGTCAGAGATTGGCTGACGAACAAATTTTGAAACCGGTTATTAATTATGGATATCATGTTCTACATAGATATCAAATTTCTTTAAATCCAATCTTTTTGAATATTACATTTTGAAAATGGCGGCAAAAATTGCGTTCCAGTTCTTCTCATACTTTAGGAGATTCTGTATTCACAAAAGTCTAAATATTTTAGACTTTTAGCAACAAGAGTGCACAAGCTGAAATGTCTCTCCTGCTTTACTGTCCATTGATTTTATGTTGATAGTCCTAAATATAAAGCTTTACTACAAGTATCACATAAACTTAATATGATCCAAGAAAATGAGGTCAAGGTCAGATAATAAAAACTGGAAATACATGTAAACCTTACAATCATTCCACAAAACCTATCAGACTGTTATGTACATCATAAAATATTTCCATACACCAAATATAGTTGACCTATTGCATATAGTATTAGGAAAAAAGACCAAAACACAAAAACTTAACTTTAACCACTTAACCATGAAAATGAGGTCAAGGTCAGATGACACCTGCCAGTTGGACGTGTACACATTACAATCATTCCATACACCAAATTTAGTAGACCTAATGCTTATAGTATCTGGGATATGGACTTGACCATGAAAACTTAACCTTGTTCACTGATCCATGAAATGAGGTCGAGGTCAGGTGAAAACTGTCTGAAAGGTATGAAAACCTTGCAAGGTATGCACATACTAAATACAGTTATTCTATTACTCATAATAAGAGAGAAATTAACATTACAAAAAATCTTAACTTTTTTCAAGTAGTCACTGTCCTGAACCATGAAAATGAGGTCAAGGACAATGGATATATGACAGACGGAAACTTCATAACAAAAGGCATCTATAAACAAAGTATGAAGCATCCAGGTCTTCTACCTTCTGAAATATAAAGCTTTTAAGTAGTTAGTTAACTCTGCTGTTGCCGCCACCGGATCACTATTCCTATGTCTCGCTTTCTGCGACAGAAGTCGCAGGCTCAACAAAAAACTAAGTTTTTACCAAAATTAAATTTACAAAGTTTCACAAAAAGATGATAAATACTTAATTTTTGACATTGGGAATACATTTGACATAGCATATTAAATATAAAAATAAAAAGATGTGGTATGACTGCCAATGAGACAACTCTCCACCAGAGACAAAATGACATGAAAATTTAACAACTATAGGTCACTTTATGGCCTTTAATAATGAGCAAAACCCATACCTTTTTATATATATATCAATTTTCTGAAAATCCAAGCAATAAAAAATGTTTCTAAAAATTAACAAAAAAATAACATGCACATCTTAAGAAACATATGAGGCTCAATACCTGCACAAAATTCTTTTCTAGTCCTCTTACTCTTAGAGATTTTGCATTGAAAGTATTCATAAAATTTGTGATTTAAAAAAAAGAAAAAAAAATTTCATCAAAAATCAATTTTCACAAAAAAAATAAAAACAAAAGAAGAATGTGTCTGAGGACATGAATGCTCCCACTCAAGCTTTGCAATATTGAATTAAAAAAAGGGCATAACTCCAGAATGGTAAATGACTCACAACCTAAATTCTAACTTTGTCTGCTTGTTGTGATTCTTAGCATTGTGTATGAGTTTCATAAAATTTGGATGAGGCAAACTTAAGTTAGAGTGAAGAAACGTAAATGGGACAGACGGAAGGACAGATGGACGAACCGTCAAGGTAACACTTAATGCCCCTGTTGCCTATGGTAGGGGCATAAAAAAAATACATCTACATAATATGCTCGACAACTGTGGAAATCTCATTGGCATCCTTATCATATTTTTTTAGTCTTATTGTTAACAGACAGGCTATTCTAGAAATCACGTATATGTATGTGATAATTTGGTAATGAAACCTTCCAGGACACCTAAAATCCCTTCGGTTTAATCCACCATTTTCTACTTAAGGAAATGCCTGTACCCAGTCAGGAATATGACAGTTGTTTTCCATTCGTTTAATGTGTTTGAGTTTTTTGATTTTGTCATTTGTTAAGGGACTTTCCTTTTGAATTTTCCTTAGAGTTCGATATTTTTGTTATTTTACTTTTTCATGGTACAAGAACTTTTAAAATTCAGTACACTTATCACTTATTATTCTACAGAAAGAAGTTCAGTCTTGTCTTTTGTTTGTTTTGTTTTGTTTGTGTTTAACGTCAGTTTCATCGCCCATGGCTATATATCATGGCAGACAGTTTTTATTTATGGAGGAAGCCTGAGTACCTGGAGAGAACCAGACCTACAACAGGAAAACTAGCAATCCTTGTCAATCAGATCAGAATCAAACACACCTCACCACAAGCAGGGTTTAAACTCATAACCTGAAAGTTGACAGGCTAGCATTCACTTCAGTCTTGGTATTATAAGCCATGACATTTACATAGAAAATTCCAGTAACGTAATAAATTGTAAAGCTGGTAAATGGATAAAGTACAAAACATCAAAGTTTGACAGGAGTTTAAAGGTAATTCCCAGACAATTTAAATTTAAAAAAAATCTGTGTTTATCATGTACAAAGGAAGTTAATTAATTTTTTAGTGTATTTGAACTAATTGGTTTATTCCCAACAATGTTTACAGATTATTATCGGTAATATCACTGTTATCTGGCTCTGCTTATTTATATAAAAGGTCTTGATGATTAAAAAAACAAACCAAAACAAACTGAATGGGTTAGACACATGTCAATTGGTATATATTTAGTCACATGATCTGCTTTGGTTTCATATCATTCTTTTTAAAAATATTTTGCTTTAGAGATAATATTTCATTCAATCACATGAAAATTTCAGTTCTTTGTAATATAACAAAGACAACTTTCAGTTTGTAGTTTAATTTTATTATCTATCTTTTAACTGCAAGAAAACTATATTAAAGTAAATCTGAATGTCACAAAATTGTCTTTTTACACCAAAAATCAATGTTTTTCAAATAGTTTGCTTCTTATATGTTAAGTGGTTACTGGTAAATTCCTGTCAATGTATACTTGAGGCGCTCTTTTCACCATGCTATTCAATTTTTATTCATAAAATGTTACAATTTACAAGGATTTGTATAGTGACATTACAAATCCTTGCAATATATAAAGTGATTAAAATAATATACAAAAGGAATTGTACTTGACTAATATTTTAACATTTTTATTCTAAAGTACAGACTGCCTCTTTCTACAAGAGCATTAAATTTCTTTTTAACCTTTTATTTTTATGTTGAGTTAACATTGCCAAAAAACACCAAAAGAAAATAAGATTACAACGTATTCTCCCAATAGCATGACTTTAACAATTATATTAATTCTGTTTTTCAATACCCCATGTTATAATCAGTTAAACCATTTATAATTATTCTTCCCTTACAAGGCTCATACATTAAAAAGAACTATTTAACAATTATGAATGGTGTTAGATTTCTTTTTTCATAATATCTGTAAAATATTCTCAGGTTTTAAATGATAAAAATTATAACTTACATTATGTAAATGTTAATCCTATCTATTTACAGAGTATGTAAACAAGCCTCATAGTCACAAGCACAGGGGATATTGGAAGTCGGTTTAATACGACTGCTGCCAATAAGCCTCTGCCAGACAATGGTAAATGTTTGAATTTAAAATACCAATAAGAAATTTAAATGCCTTTTTAACAGATGTAAAGCAGATATAAATGTTGATCAATTTTTCAATATATTGCAATGAGTTGAATCATTAATCGTGAAGGGAAAAAAAGTCACAGATAAAATAACTTCATTTAATTTTTTTTTCAAAATTATTGACATTGATCATTGATCATGTTGATACATGAAAAAGCACTCATGAAAAAGCGTTGTGCACAATACATGTTACAAGATATCTTGCAACATTGCTGAATAATTGAACACCAACATGAACAGGCATAAAGTAATGATAATTCATTTTTCACCAAACAAAAAATTTAATAGATATGTTAAATAAATAAATTAACTTAAAAAAACACTAAATTATACACTTTAGTTACAACTAATTTATACAATAATTGCATGCAGGTAATAGTTTTCATGCAGGAAAGGACAAAAACTTTGCTTGTAATAATTTATTTAGATTTTCATACTCACACAATGCACTTTTGTATCAAAGTCCTTAAAATGACTATCTTATGATTTTGCTTGTTTCAGATTATTTCACAAATATTGGTGAATATCATCTACATGTATCATAGAATATCAATTGCACCAATGCAAGCTTGTTCATCATATTATTCTCATGTCAATTAGCACCAATATGTGTACAATAGCAACATAGCAAAGGGTTTGATTGGAGGTTCAATTACTATATTGATTGTTCCTTACTTAATGTCCAGTGGAAAATATTTCATGCATATTACGGTCAATTTAATGAATTGAGATAATGACTTTAAAAATAGATTAGGAAATAATTACTGTTAATTTTTTTTTAACAAACAAGGAAAAATAAATTAAAGAACTGAAAAGTGACCAATTAAAAATCAGTGAATACTGAAAAATGGACAATTATAGAATAGCGAAAACATAATAAGCCAGCACTGATCATGCTGATAGAGATGAATAAATCACAATCAATTTAAGTATGTTCCTATAAAAAATCCTAGCAAATGTCGAGATGAATTGAAAAAACATTTACATACACAGGTCACCATATTTGTTTACTCCACTATTAGGGCATTTAGACTACAATGAACTTTCAGTTTAAAACAAGATTAAAAGGAAGACAATTAAGCAAAGACTGATTTATCAGTGTGTCTCTATTCAATTTTCATATGGCCGTGCAAAAAGCTTATACATTGAACTTGAAAAATTATCCTTGTTGACAGTATTAACCAGACACATTAAAGGAAATTAAATAGTTTTATTCATTTGCAGATGCAGTGATAATTTTATTCTTGTTTAGAAATTCCAACAGGGAGCACATTTTAAATTTTATATAACATCTTAATGATTGTGAAAGTGACATGTCCACCATGTAGTTTAGAAGGAATAGGATAATAAAGAAAATGAAGGCCTGTGGCTGAAATGTTTTAAAAAATGATTTAATTATTACAATAATGTTAAAATTTTAGGCAGATTAGCTTTTGTCTTCAATATCGCCTAGTTTACACGTAATGTCATTACAATTACTTTAATTTCTCAAAATATCCTGTCTTTCCTCCAATCAGATGCCAAATGTAATGTGCTATAAAGCTTTTGTAAATTTCTGACACTTAACTTGCAATCTTACCAACAAACTTGAACTTGACATTTAAACTTATTCTTTTAACCAAGGACAGACTTCACAGTAAGATATAAACAGTTGAACTTACCCTTGTGTTAAGAAGGTCTTCTCTGGTCCATAATAGTTGTCAGGTGATGATGTATTATCAACCTTTCAAAGAAAGATATACAAGGACATTAAAGATCACATTCAAATGTAAACACTACTTTAAACAAGAGAATCAGAAATCTTAGTTTTTTTTTTTTTTTTTCTTTTTCTTGTTTTGTTTTGTTCATTTTTGCTATTGTTGGGTTTGTTTCATTTTAATTTTTTTTTCTATTTTTTTACAAAAGAGTTGGCCCAAATGAGGTTTTCTCTCCTGATTATTTGTGATTTATTTAAATTTTTAGTATTTGATTTCAAGGCTGTGTTGGTACCTTGAAAAATGCCAGTTTAAACTTCAAATTTCCACTCAAACATTATAACATTCAAAAGAATCGAAATTAATAATATGGTGCTGTTTTTCTCAAGAGCTAAGAATGATGTAGAAGTGGGGAAATAGATTAATGTTTACTTCATACTCACCAGATCTGTAAGTTTTGCTGGATGTGAATGACTTCCACTGTAGACATGATTTGATTTTCTCATAGGCACTCCTCGTGGACTCAGTACAAATGATTTAGAATGGACAGAATTGTATGCTGGGTAATTAAGAGGGATTCCATTTCTGTCTACTACTCGCAGGGTTTCTAGACCTGGATACACTACTTTCTTGAAAACTCTCTCTGTAGCTCGAACATCTACCATTAAAAATTATATATAAATCCACACAATCATCTAACTGAAAATATTCTGTATCTTACATAAAAAGTTGAATTCTCATAACTTAGGAATAATCTAATTCCTTTGAAGTGAATTTCTAACATTGTTGAATTCCATTTTTGTGCAAATTCATTTTTATGAGCATTCGCTCCCTACACAATCTTTTTTCAATTCTGCATATTGTATCAAAATCTCTTCAATGTGGATTTAAAATCAATCTAATAGCATGAACACAAAAATGATAAATAAAATATTCATGCATTTATGCATGGACAAATGAATGTTTAGGAATTGTCAATTCTCATTTAGTTTATTGAGGTTAAAGGCAAGGTTTACATACATAAATAATAATAATACATAATTTCAGGTTGAAAGAAACCGTAGTGCCAGGTCACACAAATTAAAAAAGGTTCACATCAACCATACATGTTTGCATGCTTCTGCATTTTTCAATTAATAATATCAATCAAAAGTTGAAAAGCACGTACCTAGAGAAAAAAAAAAGCAAAATCTTTCTAAGATGACATATCAAATACTGAAGAAGAACAAACATCCATGAATATACTATAGGTTACCATTTGAAATTGATTAAAGACTGAATTCAAAGAAAATGAGAATATACATAAAAAATTAACAAGAATGTGTCCATAGTACACGGATGGCCCACTCGCACTATCATTTTCTATGTTCAGTGGACCGTGAAATTGGGGTCAAAACTCTAATTTGGCATTAAAATTAGAAAGATCATATCATAGGGAACATGTGTACTAAGTTTCAAGTTGATTGGACTTCAACTTCATCAAAAACTACCTTGACCAAAAACTTTAACCTGAGGCGGGACAGACAGACAAACAGACGGACGCATAGACTGAAAAACATAATGCCCCTCTACTATCGTAGGTGGGGCATAAAAATATTGAAAAATTTGTTATATTTTCAATATGCATGCATTCCATGTGATGATGAAATTTAAGTTTAGAGGTCAGTAGCAAGAATTGCTACACATACAATGTACATTGTAGCAAGTAAATAATCTTTGACAAATTATAAATGATTATTTTGATAAAATGTAAAACAACATTAAATCCCAAAGCAGTGAAATACATTGTAGTCTGTACATGTATGTAGTTCAGGTAAAGTCTAATAATGACAATCATGAAAATTTACTATTGAAGGCAGATCTTTGAAAAAATCTGTTTAATTTCTTTAACATTTTTATGGAGATTTTGAACCTGGCATATTGTATCTAAAACATTGACCTGAGAATAATTTTTTTGTTTGTTATTCATGTTGTTGAGTAGACAGGTTATAACTTTTTGATAAGGGTATAACAGCCAAAAAAAAAACACTTTTTTAACTCATTTTGTCTTAGTTTACTATGACTTGACTGTAAGTGTTGCTCTTCGCCCTATATTGCAGTTCATTCAAAATTCTGACCAAATTGCAATTTGTTTTATTAAATCAAATTGTTCATCTGGTCAGAAATTTTAACCAATTACTGTAAAAAACCACAGTATAATGGTACTTGCATGCATGTATTAACTTCTTGCTTTGAAACAAAATTTAGAAAAAAAAAAAAAACAAAACCATAGTATTTTCTGAAAATTTCATACTTTTTTCATAAATTATTGGGTTATAAAAGCATGATTTCTAGTTTCACCACACAAAATATTATGCTTTTATGACTATTTATGCTTAATCAATTTCTTAATATAAACCCATTATGTGCTGTTTAATATGGAGGAACAAGACCAGCATAGTTTAAAATAAAAAATGTATTGAAATAAAATAGTTTTCACTTTTCAAATGTCATGTATGTCTTAGACAACATTTAAATGGTTTAAAATTAACTTTTAGATAAGTTTTTTGACATTAACATTTACCTAGCTCACTATAAATAAATAAGTTTTAAGCGATATTATTGTATAAATCATTCTTGTGAAATGAAGCAGATATATAAACAAAATGAAAACTATCACATAAAATACCACCTTCTATTATCTTTCTTAAAAGGAATTGTTCATATGTATCCATGTTGAAATAAATATATTTATCCAAGGATTTGTATAGTCTTACTATACAAATTCTTGATTTACCTATCGCCCAAGTGCGTTAAATATTTAATTTAAAAATCAAGATTTGTGACATTTGTTAGCGATAAAAATCTGATAATAAAAACCTTATTTCAGATACTTGATTTGTCAAAATTATTGAATAATACATCCAATTTATGCATATATATTTAAATTTCATATCATTTAAAATCGATTTGGTGTAACTTGTACAAGTGATCACAAGTCAAAAACTTTTTTAAATCCTCTAATTCAATGATTAAAGTCTAAATTTCGTCTGCAAGTTTAATACCTATCAATGATTAAAAAAAAAAATCCATTTTTATCATTTTATGGTCTTACCACTGTTCCGTTGTGTTTCCATAACAGCATCTCGTGAATTTATATGAAAAAGGTACAAAATAAATAGCCTTGTTACAAAAGCATTCACATTTTTACTATAATGGATTAAATGAAAGGCTAACAAATCTGAACAATGCCGCGGAAAGCCATGTGTTTATAAGTGACGTCACTGTAACTAAGTTGAAAGTGAATTTCCGGTAACTTTCACTTTCACTTTGACCTAACACGTGTATGTTTCGGAAAGATAAATAAACATTTCAGTTTATCAGAGACAACTAATAATAATAATAATGTATAAGTTTACAGTTTGGTAGCTGACTGTTTGATATTATTTGATTAAAAACGGGAAAATATTTAATTATTTTCAGTTCTGTCAGTATATTTGAGAATCTGTAATACAAATATTAAATTAAAGAAATGTGATATAATTAATTGACAGTGAGACAACCATCAGAACAGAAATTTCAGAAATAAAATGAACAAGAATGGTATTTTTTAGTTTGTAAAAAAAGATATTAACAGATTATTTTTTTAGTCTAAGCCCCTGTAACGAAAATAGCAGTATGCGAGACATAAGGATGCTAATATTATCAGTCTAGGAAAAATAATTCTGTGTCATTTGTTTTGCTCGTTCCTTTTTATCCCCATTCTGTAATTAATGAATCTGTATCAGTTAAAATGATTTCATTTCAATCCACTGTCTATTTAGAATTATTTCTATCCTTTAACAAAATACCTCGAGCAGTTACTTTCTCAGTCAAGTAATGCCTCTGTATTTCAATTACTAGCTAGTTCATTTCAACCCTCAATCTTACAAAATTTGCTCTTTACCTGCTACCTGATGATCCCCAGCTAGTGTGAATACTTTTGTACTAACTATACCTGCTGATCCGTATTCTAGTACCAATATGTACCACTGAGTTACTTGATGATTCATATTGATTCTATCTAGTAAGAATAACCTTCTACCAGAAACTTGCTGACTCATTTTGATTATGTCTAGTAGGAATAACTCTACACCATTAACTTGCTGATTCATTTTGATTCTGTCTAGTAAGAATAATTAACTCTAAACCAGTTACTTGCGGATTCATTTTGATTCGCTGTCTAGTAAGAATAACTCTTTGCCAGTTACTTGTGGATTCATTTTGATTCAGACTAGTAAATAATTCTGTACCAGTTACTTTTGGGTTCAATTTGATTCAGTCTAGTAAAAATAACTCATTTCCAGCCACCCCGAAGCTGTTAAGGTTTTGCACTTTGAACAAGAAGAATATATTAAAAATAATAGCAGTTAATTGTTGTATTTTACTTCATCATAATAATGTTAATATGCCTTATACACCAAGGTATACTTCAGATTTATTAGTTGATTACTGGTACCTACATCATTTTCAACGTTTAGATGAATACATAAATGTTCTCAAAAACATTTACCACTCAAGTTTTCAAATTGAATCTTTTCAGTGAACTTCCCAGATTTTAAATTATTTACGAATAAAAGGAGATGGGTATGGGGTATACTTTAATGAAACAGCAAGTCAACAATACAGCTGTGAATCCACCAAGAAACAATGTCAGCTGACTTGCAGAATCAAACAAATTCCGGATATCACCTAGCGCTTTACAAGTGGACGCAACAAGATTCAAAACGTGCGCTCTGCAATGCTGATAATATGCTCTTGGTTGGATTTTCTGTAGCCATCACGCTAGCACCATTTCTTTATAAACTAGGAAACAAAGACATGCTACATGTAAAGTGCACCAAGGCACTTTTATTGATTGTTTTTTGCCCCGATATTTCTTGGAAGGTCTTCAAATTCTTACATGATCCTTACATGGTTTTGAACTTTTTCCCATTGTGAAACAAAGTGACAACCGGTGAAGTACAAATGCAAACATTTACGTATTTCGGAAGTCTTCATAATAAATGAAAACAGTATTTGGTTGAAAATTTTATATAGAAACTGCCATATGTATGAACTAACAGACATAATTCCCGGCTAGGGAAAATGTCAACACCCAACGATATTCAGACAGTTTTAGACGTTACCGGTTATAAATGAGTGTTTGAATGGGGGTCTTCAAATAATTATTTTGAATTCTTTTTGTCCATGATTTGATTTTCATTTCTTTTATATTTAAGAACCACAAAATTAATAATTTACCTGAATGGTCAGGTGATTCGATCAGGGACTCGTGAGTTGAATCATCATCTATTCTACTGATTTTGCTTGGGGTAGGATAATCTAACTTTGTCAGCTTCAATTGTGTCGATTTCTTTGACTCCGACATATTTAGATTAGTGAAAACTACCGCAAAGGAATCGGGATTTCCAATTTAAGGAGCAGGGAAATGTTTCCATTAGTCTTGAACTCGCAAAGAGTATGAATCAAAAACGGCAACAAGAAGATATAAGTCGGTATATTAGCGTTAGGAGCGAGTCTGCTGCATTTTGTGAAAATTGTTTTTAATATTATAAAGAAAAGCTTGTTTATTTATTATTTTTTACCGCGGCAAGTGCCTCGGTTGCCTCAACGTAAGCTACGCCAATGACTTGCTGATTCATTTTGATTCTATCTAGTGAGAATAACTCTCTATACCAGTAACTTGCTGACTCATTTTGATTCTGTCTAGTAAGAATAATTCTGAACCAGTTATACTTGCCGAATCATTTTGATTCACGGTCTAGTAAGAATAACTCTGTGCCAGTTACTTTTGGATTCATTTTGATTCTTTATAGTTAGAATAACTCTGTACCAGCTACTTTTAAATCTTATGGATTTATGTCTGTTAAAGATAAGTCTGAATCAGTTACTTGCTGATTCATTTTGATTCTGTCAAGTCATAACTCTGTTCCAATTACTTGTGGATTCATTTTGATTTAGTCTAGTAAGAATTACTCTACAATTTACTTGCTGATTCATTTTGATTCTGTCAAGTCATAACTCTGTTCCAGTTACTTGTGGATTCATTTTGATTTAGTCTAGTAAGAAGTACTATGTAACAGTTACTTGTGGATTCATTTTGATTCTGTCTAATAAGAATAACACTTTACAAGTTATTTGTGCATTCATCTTAATTCAGTCTAGAAAAAATAATTTACCAATTCATTTAGATTATGTCTAAATATAATAACTGTGAGATCTAGAGGTAATTTTAGCACAAAATCAGTACCAGTAACTCGTATGTTTGAAATGTCTGAATATGTCAAGGAGACAACAATCCAACATCATAAAACCATGTGGTACTATGTAAGCCATCTCATGTAAGTCAACTCTAAAACAAAAATAAAGTATTGGAAGCAAACACATTCTACTTTTTTTTGACACAAAGAATTGGAAATTTCCTTGATGAATATGAAAACACATGAGTTGTAGGGCATGCATAAATAAGACAGCAACCAAACAATGTGATGAACTATTAGGTGTGTTACAGATTCTGGTGATCTTAAGACAGTTGGGTTACCTTTATCACAATGACTGATTGCAGATTCTCAGTTAGTAGGAGTTTCTAATTAGAGTTAACCGATACTATACTCCCTCTAAAAAGAGATCCTCTTTCACAGTAACTAACTCAATATAAAAATAAGATGCTGTATCAGTGTTCCAGCTTGAATCTCAGGGCAGAAGGGTGCTAGTTGTCTGAAAGGGCACTTTAGCGTTATAACCCAGATTTTAAGGGCAATGTTGGACAGTGTATAAATTACCTTGAATATTGCTAGGCTCAGCTGGAGAACATTAGTTGTATTTAAACCATATTCAGAAATTAATGTGTTCTTGATGTTGGTTCAAGTAAGAATTTTTTTTCGTCAAATTATCATACCATGAAGCAAAGCATATCATTTTGATGTTAATCTAAACAAACTTGTACATTTGGTATGGAAAATAATCATCAGAAATTTCAATGTTTTATAACTTATACCAAAATAAACAAGTAGTTTTGAAAGATGGAGTTATACATGCAAAATTGAATGTTAAATGTAATTAAATTATCTTCATTTAAATTACTTGTTCAAACATATAGTATATCTTCTTCTCTTCTCTTCTTTAAGTTTCTAGCGATCCTTCAATTATTGAAGATTATTCGCCGGGCGTCGACTATAAAATTTTATAATTTACATTGTAGCAAGAAAAATAAAAAGAAACAAAATCAAAAAATCAAAATAATGTATGTGCATTTGTAAAATTTCATTTAGATAAAACTATATACATTTGATAACAAAATAGTTAGGGATAGAAAATGGGGATGAGAGCAGATTCTGAGATCATACTCTTGAATCCCTGTACTGTACTGCATGATACTATTTGTTGTGGCAGAAGATTCCAATCTATAACTGTTCGTGGATAAAATGAATATTTATAACTGTCTTTAGATGTTTGTATTTGCCTAAATGAGTGTGGATTGCTATGTCTAGTTCTATTGTCTAGTGGGATCAAAAGGTTAAATGTAGGGACTGCAACAATTTCATGTATAATTTTGTAGAAGAAGACAAGTCTGTATCGTAAACGCCTAATTTCAAGTGGGTACCAATTTAAGTCTGTCATCATTTCAGTAACTGAGCTGGTGTTATGGAAGCGGTTGCATGCTATATATGTTATTGAGAGTTATTTATTATCATTTGAATTGTTACAAAAAAGTATTTTTAAGTGCACACCAAAGTGCTCCTCAGTAAGGAGTTTTATAAATATAACAGATGAGACAGGAGATGATCATATTTTATATTGATGCAATAATATATTGCAGAAGGTATAAACAGTTACTTTTTTCTCCATCATTGTTAAAAATAAATTTGTTGAGTGCTCCTATGTCAGGAGGATTATAAAATACAAGAAGTATTAAAAACAGGAAGTGAATCTTGTTATGTTCAAAGTACAAATTTCTTTGATTCCTCTTTAAATTTCATACTCATGGTTATGAAACAAAACATTTTTTTACCAATTAAGTCAAAACTATGTATGCCTTTAAAATTGTTTAAGATTTTATTTTTTAAGTTATGCCTACTGAAATAAATTTTTTCAGGTGTACATGCTGTACATAAACATTACAAATGGATAACATGTGGACATTTCATTCTGTATTAAATATCTAGTATTTGTTCAATTATCTTAAATCCACTAATTAGCAGTAAACAATCATTAACAAAGGTGATAAAACCGCCCTTCTATTTAGGGCAGGCGGGAACACTGTGTATGATTGCCAATGAGACAGCTATCCACCAGATACATAATCATGTTGATGTAAACAACTGTAGGTTAGTTTGTTGGACAGTTTAATATGAGTTCCATAATCACAATCACTCACTGACCATGATTCCATAATCACGATCACTCACTGACCATGATTCCATAATCACAATCACTCAAAGACCATGATTCCATAATCACAATCACTCACTGACCATGATTCCATAATCACAATCACTCACTGGTCATGATTCCATAATCACAATCACTCACTGACCATGTATCCCAGACTAATAAGAGTACATCTAACATAGTTGATTCATTTTGAAAATCATTCAAGTAAGAGTACCTCAACTGCAGTAATCAATGATTTTATTTATCAAATTTTAAATGTTTTTTATGCATTGTTTTTGCCAACGTTGAACCAATTATAGTTGACTGATCACATATACGAGTTAGAGAACTTTGGTGTTTATGCCACATCATTTGAATTCATTTCCCACTAAATTAATCTAATGCAGTTTTAAGGTTGCCCTATAATTTTGGTATTTGTCTATTGTTGAATACTGCATATCTGCTGTATGTTGAAATCATGATTTCTGTGATTAGAAAATATGTGTTGTTATCATATTGATAATTACCAATATTAACTTTTTATTCATGTTTAGACATCGCTGTTATTGGTTTTCATCAACATTACAAATTAAAGAACCTTAGTGAGCGCGCTCACATACCCCACGTCCCCACATTGTCATTGGAGAAATAAAATAAGTGTAAGAAAAAAAAATTGTATCAAAAAAAAAAATTGAATCATAATTTCCTGTCAATATGCACATCTACGTAGTATGTCCTTATTATCTGAAAAGGTTTCATGAAATTCTGTTGTGTGGTTTGAGAGGAGTTGCGATGACAAACTGTTGCAGTAGTACATTAAAGTAAATAAGTTCAAAGGGGCGTAACTCCTAGAAAAAGAATTGAATCGTAATTTCCTGTCGATATGCACATCTACATAGTATGTCCTTATTATCTAAAAAGGTTTCATGAAATTCTGTTGTGTGGTTTGAGAGGAGTTGCGATGACAAACTGTTGCAGTAGTACATTAAAGTAAATAAGTTCAAAGGGGCGTAACTCCTAGAAAAAGAATTGAATCGTAATTTCCTGTCGATATGCACATCTACATAGTATGTCCTTATTATCTAAAAAGGTTTCGTGAAATTCTGTTGTGTGGTTTGAGAGGAGTTGCGATGACAAAAGGTTGCAGTAGTATATTGGGCAAATAATTTCAAAGGGGCGTAACTCCTGAAAAAAAAATTGAATCGTAATTTCCTGTCGCTATGCACATCTACGTAGTATGTCCTTATTACCTGAAAAGGTTTCATGAAATTCTGTTGTGTGGTTTGAGAGGAGTTGCGATGACAAACTGTTGCAGTAGTACATTAAAGTAAATAAGTTCAAAGGGGCGTAACTCCTAGAAAAAGAATTGAATCGTAATTTCCTGTCGATATGCACATCTACAAAGTATGTCCTTATTATCTAATAAAATGCTCCGCATGGCGCAGCTTGATACGACCGCAGAGGTCGAACCCTGAACAGTTTGGGCAAGTATGGACACAACATTCAAGCTTGATACAGCTTTGCATTTGGATTGTGATTAAATATTTGACACAGCATAGGTTTCTGACACAGAATGAATGTGGTCTATGAACTTAAAAATTTTAAATTGGACATTCACTTATTATGGTCCAATATCCAAAATCTAAATACATAGATTCAGCATATCAAAGAACCCCAAGAATTCAATTTTTGATGAAATCAAACAAAGTTTAATTTTGGACCCTTTTGACCTCAATGTGGACAAAGTTGATAACGGGGCCCAAAAATCAAAAATCTAAATACATGGTTAGATTCAGCATATTAAAGAACCCCATATATTCAATTTTTGTTGAAATCAAACAAAGTTTAATTTTGGACCCCGATTTGGACCAACTTGAAAACTGGGCCCATAATCAAAAATCTAAATACATGTTTAGATTCAGCATATCAAAGAACTCTAAGAATTCAATTTTTGTTAAAATCAAACTAAGTTTAATTTTGGACCCTTTGGACCTCAATGTGGACCAATTTGAAAACGGAACCAAAAATTAAGAATCTAAATACACGGTTAGATTCGGGATATCAAAGAACCCCAATAATTCAAGAATAAAACCCCATTGAAATTGGTCAAGAAATAAGCAATTTATACGAAGTATCTTCTTTTGCACAATACTGTGCAATTAAATATTTCTTGCTATTGCGCAATACTGTACAATTGACAATTTCTTGCTATTGCGCAATATTGTGCTATTGGATATTTCTTGCTATTGCGCAATACTGTGCAATTGAAGATTTCTTGCTATTGCGCAATACTGTGCAATTGAAGATTTCTTGCTATTGTGCAATACTGTGCAATTGAAAATTTCTTCCTATTGCACAATACTTATTATATAATAATTTACACATCCTGTTTGGTGTGTATCTCCTACCATATCATTATTATTTGCTTTTAATATATAAATCAGAAATAACCAACTTAAAATGGAAAATTTTAAAAGAAAAAAAAAAGGAAAAAAAGAAAAAAAAGGAAACCCCCCCCCCAAATTTTTTGAACCCCCTTATGATTTATCACCCCCAAACTCAATCCCAGCTTTCCCTTTGTGGTATGTTACCTTGCAGTCCAATTTCAGAGAGATCCATACACTTGAACACAAGTTATTGTCTGGAAACTAGAAAAATGTGTTTTTTGGCCCCTTTTTGGCCCCTTATTCCTATACGTTAAGGGCAATTACCCCCAAACTCAAACCCAGCTTTCCCTTTGTGATATGGAACCTTGTAGTACAATTTCAGAAAGATCCATACACTTACACACAAGTTATTGTCCTGAAACTAGAAAAAAATGCTTGTTTTTTGCCCCTTTTTGGCCCCTAATTCCTAAAATATTGAGGCAATTACCCCCATCATCAATCCCAGCCTTCCCTTTGTTGTGGTATGGTACCTTGCAGTACATTTTCAGAGAGATCCATACACTTGAACACAAGTTATTGTCTGGAAACTAGAAAAATGCTTATTTTTGGCCCCTTTTTGGCCCCCACTTCCTAAACGTTTGGGCAATTACCCCCAAACTCAATTCCAGCTTTCCCTTTGTGATATGGAACCTTGTAGTACAATTTCAGAAAGATCCATACACTTACACACAAGTTATTGTCATGAAACTAGAAAAATACTTGTTTTTTGTCCCTTTTTTGGCCCCTTATTCCTAAAATTTTGAGGCAATTACCCCCAAAATCAATCCCAGCATTCCTTTTGTGATATGGAACCTTGTGGTACAATGTCAGAGAGATCCATACACTAACACACAAGTTATGTCTGGAAGTTACAAAAATGCTTATTTTTGGCCCCTTTTTGGCCCCTAATTCCTTTACTGTTGGTACCATAACCCCCAAAATCAATCCCAATCTTCCTTTTGTGGTATTGAACCTTGTGGTAAAATTTCATAGAGATACATTCACTTAAACTAAAGTTAGAGTGCGAAAACCAATGTGTCTTCGGACGACGACGACGACGCCAACTTCATACCAATATACGACCACAAAAATTTTTTTGCGGTCGTATAAAAAGGTTTCGTGAAATTCTGTTGTGTGGTTTGAGAGGAGTTGCGATGACAAGAAACAGGACTGACGGACTGACGGACGGACAGACGGACGGACGGGTCAAAAACATTATACCCTCCGCAACTCGTTGCGTGGGGTATAATAAACAGCTGTGCCATGACCTCATGTGCCCTTATTGTGCATATTGAAATTGTTGCAAATATAAAACAGGATATTAAGGAGGAATTTATTCAGAAGCAAATAAATGGCTCTGTAGAATAACATGCAGGAGGATACTTTAGGTGTATAAATATTGTGTCAATATGAATGTTGAAGGTCCCTCAACTCTGAAAAGACAATTTTCAAAATCAAAAGCCACTTTACATTCACCAATCACAACAGTAGTGTTAAGTTTGTAGTAATTTGATCCAATTAAACTACAGCTAGTACATTTCATTTTTTTTAATTTGTCTTGACAGTCAAAGTTCCATAACTCTGGAATGACATAGCCAATTAAAAAAAAAAAAATCTAATGGTGTTTTAAATTTACAAATCAAAACAATTATGTAAAGTTTCGACTAAATCAATCCAAAGAAATTCAAGTTATGGTACAACATGTAAAACAATTTACTTAAATCAGAGTTTTAAAAGTCCCATAACTCTGGAATGACAAACCAGAAAATCGAAAAAATCAAAAGGAAGCTTTCTTTTACCATTCCTACAGTAATCTCAAGTTTCGAGGAAGCCAATTGATGAATACTGGAGTAATAACGTAATATGTGAAAAATTACCTCAAATCAAACTGTTAAAGTCCTGTAGCTTAGGACAACATAGCAAAAATAATTGAAAAGAACTTTCTTCTGTCAATCCTCGTGTTGTGTTAAAATTACATGAGAATCGTATGAAATGTTGACGGACAGACATTGGTATACCATAATACGTCCCATCTTCAAGGGCATATAAAAAAACAGGAATATATAAACAATAGGTATTTTATTTACATTTAATGTTTCTAGATACAAGATCAATTCAGTGAATTAGATGAGTAAATATGTACAATGGAAATGAAATTGTAAACTTTGCACCAATTAAAATTCAACTTAAATAACCTTACCTCTGTGTAATAAAATTTTGTATCAGCCCTTAAAAACAATAGAAATAATGCTGTAAAACTGATTGAAAAAATACATATGACAATCTGGTATACATCATCATATATAGCCATCACAACAGCTTAGTCAAAACTACACAAAGGGAGTCTGGTATACATCATCATATATATATAGCTCACAACAGCTTAGTCAAAACTACACAAAGGGAGACAAATACTTTTAATCAGAAATTCTTAAAATGACAAAAGGGTGGCTGTGCATCAGGCAAAATCTTGTGGAAAACTAGAAAATATCCATCATTAAAAAAAACAAAACAGTAATTTTATTGCTGTCCTTCAACTTGACAGTTGCCAAGGGGCCTTTATGGTTGAAGAATTCAAAGAGCTCACACATTGCACATTAGTCTTTCTATAAACGTATCAATTAAAGAAACTTTACTGATTTTTTTTTCTTATTTACTGTATTAAATTATGGTTGTATAAACTGCAAAAATAAATGTCCAAAGGAGGAAAAAATCAACCAATAAAGACAAATCTCACATAAGGGAATGTGATTGAATGGAAAAAATATAATCACTGAACTTTTCAGATTTATATAATCTCAACAGAGAACAAGATAATTTTCACACAAATGTTTGTTCTCAATATCACAAATTAAGTTGTTAATTGTTATTATCTTCCAAATTAATATCTTACATTAATAATGAAATGAAATGATATGATATGACAATAAATCTATTATTTATAGATATATACCCTTCAAACAAGGCCAAAATAAACATTTAGTGATACATCGATTTCAAATTTTGACATGCCAAGAAACAAAACAATATTCTGCAGCATGCTATGTTTAAGAAATAATTAACAGCAGCCCATGAATTATTAGAGATTTATGTGGATTTAAATTTTACTCCCACTGAAGTGTAAGGGATAAAGACTGAAAGTAAAATTTACAAAAATATACGTCTAATCTATAGTAAAACAGGAAATGAACCAAATGCCCTAAAAATTACTTGATTTTAATAAAAAAAAATGTACAATTGTTACCCTTATTTGTGTTACTTTGGAAGACCGTATGAACAATCTTATAATGTAAGAGTGCACAAAACACAGTTTGAAATCATAAATTTCTGTTGGTCATTTTTTACTGAGTATTATTTTACGGAAGCAACAATAGAATTAGAAATTAAAATAACAAATGAATACAAATTATTTCCTTGTTGGGAAGTATACTGGTATCAATACTGGTTCAGAGCAGTGCAGAGCTATGGTGAGAAGTAAATAGAGAACAATGTGTTACTTAAATTTACAAACATTTCCAGCTTTATAATTGAGGTTGATTACGAGTATGTTGGAAGACATTAATAATTTTTATATTTATATAAACCAAATATAATCTTTAAATCAACAGGGATTAAAAACCTCTAATTGTTGACTCCTTGTTCAGCTTCATCATCCCAAAGCATTTCTACTACCTGACAAGGGAAATAGCCTGCTTCAAATTATATATTAAGAGTTCGATTCCGAAAATGACTTACTTGAATGGGTTATATGGAATAGTGGTATAATTGCAAATAAGACGATTAATATCAGAAGACAAAAGGACGGGAACGAGTACATCATTACATGATAGAATGGATGAGAAGCCAAGATATGTTTATTTTGGCCTCTACAGATATTATGGAATACCAGACTAGAAGTATATATATTGAGCTAAATAATGTATATATAAAAATAAATATAAGTATTTTGTACTTGTCATTATGTCAATAATTCAAATAATAAGAGACAATAACCACAGGACATATCAGTCGGCATTTCTTTTTTTCACCATCTTAAACATTCATCAAAAAAAAATTATTAAGCGGTATTTTTAGAATGATAAAGACAAGAAACTGAATGTTAAAAAAGTACAACTTCACATTTTCAAACAATACAAAATAGAGAGTACATAATATAATGCTGTTTAAAAATAATGTCTCAAATAGCACACGGTTTGTTCAAAACATGACCAAATCTAACCTGAAATATGGCTCATACTAAAACAAAATCTTTTGTTAAATCTGAGAAGAAACTGACATTTTACCTCTAGTTTTCTTTAATTTTCACTAAGCAGTTTGAACTTTGAAAGGTAAATATCAACTTCTGAATACTGCATCAAGAAAAATTCAAGAAATATTTTATGGAAATTATCATCTTTAAAACTGATGTTGGTTTGAAATTTTTCAACTTCCTATCTATCCTCATATTTTTTTTCTGAATATTTTCAATGTATTGTAAATTTAACTCATTTGTTTTGTTTTTAAAGGTTACATGTATTTGAGACAGTATTATTATAGTGAATCCAATAGCTAACTCCAAGTCAGCTGTGTCAGTGTATATATTACTGAACCACAAAAACTGCTTTTGAAACACCATCTCAAAGTTTTTAATAAAAGAGCTTAAAAGTAAATAATTTGCAAATTCAGGGAATTTTATCATTCCCTACTCACCTTGCAAACACAGACGCAAACTATCATTCCATACACAGTATACACGTGATATAAAAAAATTAAAGGCCTTGTATAAAGTCTTAGACCATTCGTTCAATATTAATGTTATAAACATTATTGCTTATTAGATTGTGGCTATATCTAGTCCAATACAGTTCTAAAGGAATGATGTGTGAAGAGTCCACTCTCCTCTGACAATCACTGAGGTATACACTTTAAATATTAGACTGCTGAGCTAGAAATGTTCTTATTCTCTGTAATAATTCTCTCTTTACATTATCTGGTACCAATGCTAAAAAATATAAAATATAAAAACTCACTTCAAAAGAGTTTATGTTAAGGCTATGAAATCTCTTTACTGATTCTTAATTACTTCAATTTGGTAAGTACGGGTTTTGGTGACTGGAAAATTTTTCCATTCACCAAAACAAGTGATTTGATTTTGTGTATTATGTATATCATTCAATATTTGTGAAGGTTCACCATATGGAATTCTATGAATTCAGGGTTTTTCCCAGGATCTTTTAGCATCATCAAGGTAATGTGATGCTATCTGAAATAATTTTCTTATAGATTGTGGTATGTATGTGGTGCTATAAATCTGGAAACAAGATGGCAAATTAAAAGTTTGTATTTACACAGATTCTAAAAAAAAAAATTGGAAGAACACTGCTATGATTAATACTGAATCTCAAATAGAATTAAAAAGTCCTTTTTCACTTAAAAAATAACAGGATAATTACTGTGAAAGAAGGCTACATCAACAGCTCAAAAGGGTTTTAGTTTTTTTTTATCCAGTCAATGTAGGAGGTGCACATGCATGACAAAGCTTCCTGCTTGTTTATCCTTCCCACCCTATGATGTAGATACCACAGCTTTTGCTTATCATATGAAATGCAACCCATAGGTTCAAATATTGGGTCAACATTTTTAGTCTTTAAGCTTATATTGTTTTGGTTTTAATACTGTAAAATCAGAAACTATTGTGAGGTTTTTATTAATGCGAATACTGCAACTGGGCGAGTATTGCAAAAATAAAAACTCGCATTGTGATATATGATACATATACCTGTATTCAGATTTTCCTGAAATCGCAATATTTAATCTTGCATTTTTGTCCATCTTTCAAAAATTGCAATAATAAATGCACCCAATAATTTCTGAATTTACAGTAATTTTTTAATTAACTAAAGTTTTAAACTTGGTGGTGGACTGGTGGTACAACTGACCAATTATTTTGTATTTTGTTCTTATACAGGTAACCACTTCACAACATTTATTTCATCATAGAAAATATAGATTTTTTAAATAAGTAAAAAAGCAGCAGAAACATGGACAAGATGACAGTCTGGAAAGAAAACCTGACACTGGAACAAAACATTAAATTCATACATAATGTTTTATTCATTACACAATTCAAGTTTCTATAATCACTTTTACCCATAGTGAAGTTAAGGTACTTCAATCAAATTGTTCAGTTTTGGTAACCAGAAAACTCACATCTTCCTTTTGGTGTTATTTCAGCCACTAAATCATCTACAGTGATATGTTCTAATCCTTTCTGTTTTACCACCTCTGGAATAAAATTTGTAAAAAATTTGTAAAAAATTTCAAACAATAAAAAACAATCAATTAAACACTAAATTGTCATTTAGAAGAGTTAAAAATAAAAATTGTCAGTTGTCTGTTCCAAATTGTTTTAAAAGGTAATAATTTTATCTTCAAATATTTAAATTTTCAAATCTAATTTTGAATGAAAATTTACAATTTCTACATGGTTGTACATACAGTTAAAGATGCATTCAAATACAATATTTGTCCTTAATTCACCAAAAAGTGAATATAAATAAATAAAATAAAATAAAGATATTAACAAATAATGTCTTTTTTTTGGGTGAAAAGGGGGTGTGGATGTTTTTTGTAGTTAATTTGTTCCGTCGTGTTTATTTTTTGTCAAAATAAAAAAAATGTTGTGTCCATGACATATCAAATGTTAACTAAAAAAATAACTCCTACATACCGGGTACTTCTTCGAATATTCTACACAGATATTTACTGTGAAAGTACTTTTCTATGTACATGTGGGTATCAATTTTTGTGGTTTGTGAAAACATCATTGTTTTTTTAATGTGGTTTCAACATTAACACTTTCAGACTGAGACTTAAATCAAAATATGTACCGGTATCTTGTTTGATATCAAATGTCCTTGTGTGAGGAAAATGAAAGATGATATCATTAAATCAATTGATTGATGATGTTTAAAGCCACTTTCAGCACTATTTGCTATATCAAGGCGGTCAGTTTTTATTGGTGGTGGAAGCTGGAGGGTCTAGAGAGAACCACATCCTTCGACAGGAAAACTGACAATCCTAGTCAATTTAGATTGCAGTCAAACGCATCTGTCACACATAGGGTTGGAAATTACAACCTTAGTGTTGATAGGCTAGTGATACAGTATATGTACTACCAAAACCACCTGGCCACAGAGGCCCTGATATCACCCAAGTGTTCTTTACATACTACATGTACACATTTCAACACCAACCTTTACAATACTGTTTAAGTTGGTCCCTCCACCCACATTCAACAAGTCTGGTCCTCAATAGCTCTTTTAATCTATAAAACAAACAATATTACAATGTACAATGTTACTTTAAACTATTTTATCACACTGAAATAATATAACAGAACAACTTGAATATTATAAAATGGCAACAAAGATGAATATAGCAGTCATATCTAACTATATATGTTAATTACATTGTATAAAAGCTCTTTGCAGAGAATGTCCTTAATCACTTTAATTGTGTTATAAATTTTGAATTAACATCACTTAATGAATTATGGTTGATATTTTCATAAAATTATACTTTTTTTGTTTATTCTACCATAATTTATATTTCAGTTTCTCAGAATCTCTTAATTCTTAGCAGATTTATGTTTTCACCGTTAAGTTAATTATCCTTTTCATTATCAACACCTGGTTTCATTGTTTTTAGTTCTTCATGGGTCTTTTTAAGTCTCTATACATCAATCAAAGTGATAATGAGCACTGATGGGTAATGATTGCATTCATTTTGAAGTCAGAACCAGGGATCTACATGGATGAAAATTTAATGACGGAGGAACTTTCACCATGACAAAACCCCGTGTCTATAGCGTGGCGTCATCGAAAGTATTTCATTCCTCTATTTCTATGTAAGGAATGGTGAACAGACTGATATATTGCTTATTATATTTATTGTCCCCTGTGTAACGCGTTGGAGGGGGGACATAGAAATTCCAGGCGTCCGTCTGGTCTTGTTAGCGCTCTCAGGTGTACAATTCTTGCCAGATTTTTATGAAACTTATATCATAGGTTTATATCAGCAATGTCTTGGACGAGTTCAAAAATCAGTGTGGATCAATTATTTTTAAAAGAGTTATGCCCCTTGGAAACATTAATTATATGGAAAGTTGCATCATTAGCGGTCTCATGTGTACAATTCTTGCCAGATTTTTATGAAACTTATATCATAGGTTTATATTAGCAATGTCTTGGACGAGTTCCAAAATCAGTGCCGATCAATTATTTTAAAGGAGTTATGCCCCTTAGAAACATTAATTATATGGAAAATTGCATTGTTAGCACTCTCATGTGTACAATTCTTGCCAGAATTTTATGAAACTTATATTATAGGTTTATATCAGCAATGTCTCAGACAAATTTGAAAATCGGTGCCGATTAATTATTTTTTAAAGAGTTATGTCCCTTGGAAATATTGATTATATGGAAAATTGCATTGTTAGTGCTCTCATGCGTACAATTCTTGCTAGAATTTTATGAAACTTATATTATAGGTTTATATCAGCAATGTCTTTGACACTTTCGAAAATATGTGCTGATCAAATATTTTTAACAAGTTATGCCCCTTGGAAAAATTAATTATAAAGGAAATCGCATTGCATTTGCTCTGAAGCCTTAATTTCTCCAAGATATTTATAAATTGTTTTAAAGAACCAAAAAAAAAGTACTTTTTTAGTTATTGCCCTTGGATAGATAAAATATGTGCAACCTGGGGACATTGGAACTCTAGATCTGTTCTCTTATTACATTATAGAATAACCAATATTTTCATTGTCATTTGTAACAATTCCAATGCCAAGTCTGCATGGCTCCCCCTTAGTCAAGAATGACCACAAGCTGTCCTTAAGGTTTCCAAGTTGTTTTCTTGCTATTTTGGTAATTGTTAAGGCCTTGAAAATTGGGGGATCTTTTTTTCACTGTCAAATTCAGAAGTCATGTACCGGTATCAACGATTTGCAGCATCAACAATAAGAAGTTTCGTACTGGTTTTGTAAAACGTTGAAGAAAGATTTGGAGGGCAAACGTTTACAACTTAAAAGGTTCAAATGATTTTAAATTGCAAATTTCATAGTAATATACTTTGAAACATGCATCCTTCGATTTGGACTGAATCCGGATGTATCAATTTGATTGTAAACTACGGAATGAATTCGGAATTACGATACGAAAATGTCTTCAGATTATCAAGTTGCAGTTAATATTCATGTATTTATTTTTAAACCTGTAAACCTGTAAAGTCATTCAATATTATATATAGTTGCTGTACTCATGTTATTTGGCATGAAATTAAGTTCTGTTTTATGTCTTATTTTGTACTCATTTAAAAAAGGGGGTGCTGATTGCGTAAGTCAATATAAAAGCACGTGTTCAACTTGTTTAACTCTTTTCTATGCAACTGAATTTAAAATTTATTTTTTGATCTAAATTTTCATTAGCATTTGCTTAAAATAATTAAATAATGCAATCAATCATCTATCTTGATCAAGTGATCTCCTGACCAGTGTGTGGATCTACCTGTACAAGTGATTAGCGATCTTCAGCCGGATATCCCTCAGGGCTTTAAAACTGTGATCAGGAGGACCCTTTGGATCATAATACAATGAGCCTATGGGTTATGCAATTACATGCAACTGATTATAATTCCTAAAAAAAATGGTGGTGGCTATCGGAACGAAAACAAAATTTTGACGATGGCGGGGATCATTCGATGATGGCGCGGATCATTTCAAATTTTGATGGTGAAAGATATTTTAACGATGGGTGTGCGCCATCATAAAACAGGTCATGGAGATCCCTGCAGAACTGTAAAATAAACATTGCATTAAGCATTATAAAAACTGTTTCAACTACATTTATGGCCTCCACACAATCCCCAACATTTCAGAGAAATAAGATATATGTGGGATTTACCTTTAAATCAAACACTATGTTTTAATAACATGGAAATAACTCCTACAATTTTAAATGGATAATCGCACAATTTTTAAATGAAGCACAGATGCAAGTTGTATAAAGTTATCATGGGGAAAGGCAGTTTTAGTTTTCATTTCTAAAAGTAAATTTTACATTTGTTTATGCCACTGATTAACTTTATCTGTATAATGTTACTGATATCAAACCTCTCTCTTTCTCCTGTTTCCACCAACTTCTGATTGATAGTTGCCCTCATCTGAGCATCTTTAATTTTTCTGTCACTACAATTAAAGTCAACGGTTTGTAATTCAACGTTTATAATAAAAAAAATTTAATTAATTGTCCTCATTGAAGCATCTTTAATTTTTCTGTCACTACATGTTAGAAATATAGTGTTATAATCTGGCTGTTGATGTATATAGCTCCGGTAGATTTAAGGTTAGAATGGAATTAATAAATAGTTGTATAACTTTAACCTTTTAACCATAACATTTTTAGAATGAACATTGTATTTGTACAGGGTATTTTCATTTGTGTTGTGTAAAGAATTGTGGTAAATGTCATCAAACTGCATTTTCTGACCATCATATCTATTATTATGACGATATACTTTTATTTGATTTAATTTAAGGAATCCTAAAAATATGTTTCATAGATATTAGTATTCAACTTTTTAACTATACTTTCTTTCGTTCGGAAAACTCTGTTTGACACATTTTCATGGGAGACATATTATTATGAGGATCCTTTATATACATAATATTCATTAAACTCCAGTAATTGTGTCATTGATGTGATAGTTTCCCACACTTTATAGTAGTCTATCCTCGACAGTAGAATATTTCTCTGGCATGTCTGGACTTAAATTTAATTTGAGTGGTAGGATAAATATGTAAATAAGCTGAACATGAAACTCCACGGCAATGTGTATGCTTACAGTAAAAATTATGTCAGAATTATCCACCACAGAAAATCGTCTAGAATAATGTGAAGGACATGATTATATAGTGCAATCACAATAAAAATTAGGTTACCCTTAGTTACAAACATTATCTCAAATGAACGTGATTGATAGTTCAAAATTTTAGAAAAACCTAGTGCCATTTTAGCATGACCGCTACTAGACCGAGATTGCTCTGACGTCCAACGGTTGTTTTGCCAGACAAGCACTTATCTGGCAAAACAGCCGTTGGACGTCAGAGCAATCTCGGACTAGACCGCAACCATATATAATAGTTTTAATTACCATTTTCAACTGTTTTGTACAATGTACATTGTTCTTTTTTAAAAATTACAATTTTATTTCGTTTTTTTTACTACCATTTCTAGCACTCGAGGTACTCGAAATACTATGCAGTTTGACCACAATCTTGTATCGAATGATAACTTTTTGAAGTTTCACCTCCGTGCAGTAGACAACTTTCCGTAGCCTTGCGTAGGTCGAACCCTAAATTGTCACATTCACAAATGTGTGTGTGTGTTTTGTTTTTATGTTTAGCCTTGATATGTCTTAAAAAATCACAGAATGAATAAACTTACTCTCCAATGCCAGCCATGGTGCACTAAAATGAAAAATTTCAACGAGCTGGTCAACGTTTGTTAGACGCTTGAAGAAAATGTGCGTTTTATTTTGCCTTAGTTCATCCCTACAATGGTTAATAAATCCCCCCCAAGGAGCACCACCACTAACACTCAAGTAAACACCGATAGAACTTGGGTGATAATTACTCAGTATAGTTACTTTAAATTTCATTTGCTCTATAGTTGATTTTGACCGATGTTTTACCAATTTCCTTGCAAAAATTGCTTCCTAGATAATTTGATATTTCCCTTTTTATCATTTTCCTATAGGTATCCTTTTAATTTCTGTTTTCATGTTGTCAAAGGTAGTTAATTATTTATCAATAATCAAAGTGCTTGTGAGCACTGAGGGGGTAAAGATTTTTAAGTTGTCATTGTTAGCTTTAAAAATGTACTGCATTAAATCAGAGACATAATTATAATGTATTATATAAATATATATATATATGTCACCGATTAAATTTTGGCAATATTTTTAATTGATACTATATAAGTCTCATGTTTAAGGTCTTGTCAAGTAGATCCAGCTTGTGGCGCATAATTTTCAAACTTGTCTATTTGCTAAGTTATTAAGGGAGCTACCATTTGATTTTTATGGAGGGGGGCTAGGATGAAATTTGAAAAAAAAGGCAGGACAGGAGTTTTGAGTAAAAAAAAAGGCAGGATGAGCAACTTGGCAAAAAAAAAGGGCAGGATGACAATTAATGTAAAAAAAGTCAGGATAAACTAATAAAAAAAAAAGGCAGGACCGAATAGAGTAAAAAATAAAAAGGCAGGACAGAGATTTCAACAACAAAAAAATGCAAGACAACATTTTTCATCCTAGCCCCCAATAAAAATCAAATGGTAGCTCCCTAAGGAGAACAACCAGGAACCAGATATCTAAAAACCTTGTTAATTAAGATGCAGTTTATATTGATGAAATATCTTGTAGTGCTTGAGAAATGAATTAAACAATTAGTAATGTAAACAAAGACAATTTTACCAATGAAAGGAGATGTGGAGTTTATATCATCAATGAGACAGCAAACAATTAACACAGAAAACATTTAGAGGTCAACATACCATCATCAACAATAGACAATAAACTTAAGAGTTTCTACACAACATTTAATCTATAAGTCACACTGAGTCTAGAAGAGTGTGAATTATTTCAACAGTCAGAGGTGATCAAAGATCTGCTTCAAAACCAAATTCCCTTAACGACAAAAAACATAAAAATATAACTAATAACAACCACTGACATGATTACTGACTTGATACAAGATAAAATTGAGAATGGAAATGGGGAATATGTCAAAGAGACAACAACCCGACCTAAGAGCAGAAAACAGCCCACAGCCACCAATGGTTAGAGCATAAAAATCTGGCTGGGATTAAACTAGTATTTTTGAGAATTCAACCATCCCCCTTTAAATCTCAATCAGTGGAATATCTAATAGTATATGAAATATTATTATTGATGTAAACTTGAACAGATGTGAGTACAGCATGAAAAATTTGTGAAAGTTACCTATATTTTTCTCAAGACTGAACTTCTCACAAACATATATAACTGTATGTAAGTTGAGAATATCCTTGGTTTCATTCTACATCAAATATTAAGTTGATGTTGAATTCAGTCAAATTCGGCAAGCATGATGCAACATCTTGAACCTCCTTGTCCTTGATGCAGACCTACTCACTAAAGTGCAACTGCACGGGAGTTTAGGTAAACTATCATATCATGGTATGAGGTATGAAGTTAAATGAAAACTTCATTCAATGAATTAAAACAAACAGTTCAGGTAAAACTTACCAACTATTGTCATCGATGCTGACCTACTCACTAAGGCTTAGTTTGACTCGGACAATAAATAAGGTGCATGATTAAACCGTGTATTCACTAATTTATTTGTTTCTTCTAAGAAACACCTGTTGTGTAAAATTTTTGTGAAGATCCAGGGGAGTAAAACTACTATCCACATCATTTGGTCTCTGGTGGATAGTTGTGTCTTTGGCAAATATACCACATATCATTATTTATTTATTTAGTTTCCATGAGATATGCCCAAAACTTTTTTTAAAACAATCAAGTCCCCCAATACTGGAAGCATTGTGTGAAACTCTGATCCTGCAAAGATTTATTATAAGAGATGATCTGAATTTTATGCATGTTTAATAACTTGAGAATATTTGTATTGCAAAGTAACTTGTTGTCTTGTTTGAATTGTTATGTTATGCCTTTTTATAGCTAAATACTATAGGGATTAGGTTTTGCTCACTGTTGAAGGAAAAGCCATCATACAGTAACCTATGGTTGCTTACATTCACACCATATGGTCTCTGTTGGATAGTTGTCTGATTGGCAATCATACCACATCCCATTATTTTCAAATCAGATAAAATGAACTGGCAGACAGACAACAGTCATGACAGAATACAATTGTCTTCCACAAGCTAATGAAAATATCAGCAAAATCATTTTGAATTCCCATCTCAATCTCTCTGAATTAAAACTTTGAAAATAGAAAGAGTGATTGGTTGTTGCTTGCTTAAAGTCCTTTGAAAATAGATGAATGTTAAAAACAAGAGGCTGTTGAGTGACAGCAAACCGGATTTTCCTGCAGAGGTCGAACTCTGAACAGTTGAGCAAGTATGGACACAACATTTAAGCTTAAAACAGCTCTGAATTTGGATTGTGATTGAATATTTAAAATAGATTATTATCTAATTAATAATGAAAATGATATTTGCAAATCTGAACCCCAAACAGGATCATGTAAACATTAAACATTAACACACACAACAAAAATAAAATACCACATAACAACTGTGACATCTACCTTCATAACACACATGACTTAAAGAAAATAGTTATAAAGAAATTTTGACAAATAATGACTAAAATTAATTGAACAGAATTCATATACTTATTTTATCATTACTGGTTCATGGAATTAGTTTGAGTTATTTCCCTTTGAACAGAAATATGGTTTAACTAATAAAGCAAACATAGTTATCTAAAATTAGATATGATTTAACTCTCTAAAATTAGATATGATGTTACACAATGTATAGCTATTTTCAAATTATAATCAAATATAATTAATAGTTCCAAATATTTTTTCTTTCATTTGTCACAAACTAATATAGATCTGCAACTTATCTATCAATGTCAACAACTTTATCTACACAATGTAATGTAATGAAATATATTCTTTAATAAAAAAAAAAGATTATTATCTAATTAAAGTTCACTTCATAAAAAAAAATTTATATATGTAGCATTCAGAAAATTAGTTTACATAGAATAACAAACAAACCTACCACAAAATTCTTCAAACAATTTACCAAAGAAAAGAAAAAAAATCCAAAACGTCACTTATCATTAATACAATGTCTTTTAAAAATCTTTTAAATAAACAGTTAACACAGAGATATGTCTCGCCTATTTTATAGCTAAATACTATAGGGATTAGGTTTTGCTCATTGTTGAAGGAAAAGCCGCCCTACAGTGACCTATATTCAATCACAATCCAAATTCAGAGCTGTTTTAAGCTTAAAAGTTGTGTCCATACTTGCTCAACTGTTCAGGGTTCGACCTCTGCAGGAAAATCCGGTTTGCTGTCACTTGACAGCCTCTTGTTTTTAACATTCATCTATTTTCAAAGGACTTTAAGCAAGCAACAACCAATCACTCTTTCTATTTTCAAAGATTTAAAGAGGTTGAGATGGGAATTCAAAATAATTTTGATGATATTTTAATTAGCTTGTGGACGACAGTTGTTTTCTGTCATGACTGTTATTTTGATAACGCAAATGTTGAAATTAAAATAGCAATACTTTAACATGTAAGTTATGCAAATATTCAAAGTCAATGAACCATGACTGAAGGTACAGGGCTAAACAATCTCCATGGAAATGAGATGTGCCAATGCTAATACAACTGCAAACCAAATGCCATTGACTTTTCATAAGTCGTTCCCTTTAAACAAACCTAAACACAAACATTTAAACTTGTAAACTATGTAAAATTTTCAAAGTCAATGAACCATATTTAGGGGCTGGGGTTATATAATCTCCATGGAAATGAAACTTGCAAATGCCAATACATTTGCATACCAAATATCATTGACTTAACATTAGTGGTTCATATCACTAACTAATACATGTAAACTAAGCAAAAGTTTCAAAGTCAATAGACCATGTCTGAGGGGTAAGGACCATATATTCTCCATGGAAATGAGGTGTGCTAATGCTTATACAACTGCATACCAATTATCAATGACCTATCACTTACAGTTCCCCTTAAACTGACCTAATCACAAACTAATACATGAAAACTAAGCAAAAGTTTCAAAGTCAATAGACCATGAATGAAGGGGAGGGGCCAAATAATCTCCATGGAAATGAGATGTGCCAATGCTTATACAACTGTATACCAATTTTCATTGACCTACCACTAACAGTTCCCCTTAAACTGACCTAATCACAAACCAATACATGAAAACTAAGCAAAAAATTCAAAGTCAATAGACCATGAATGAGGGGGCAGGGCAAAATAATCTCCATGGAAATGAGATATGCCAATGCTTATACAACTGCATACCAAATATCATTGACCTACCACTAGTGGTTCCCCATAAACTGACCTAATCACAAACTAATACATGTAAACTAAGCAAAGTTTCAAAGTCAATATACCTTGACTGAGGGGCAGGGCCAAACAGAGATTATTTGGCCCTGCACCTCAGTCAAGGTATATTGACTTTAAAACTTTGCTTAGTTTACATGTATTAGTTTGTGATTAGGGGCAGGGCCAAATAATCTCCATGGTAATGAGATGTGCCAATGCTAACACAACTGCATACCAAATATCATTGACCTACCACTAGTGGTTCCCCATAAACAGACCTAATCACAAACTAATACATGTAAACTAAGCAAAGTTTCAAAGTCAATAGACCTTGACTGAGGGGCATGGCAAATAATCTCCATGGTAATGAGATGTGCCAATGCTTATACAACTGCATACTAAATATCATTGACCTACCACTAGTGGTTCCCCATAAACAGACCTAATCACAAACTAATACATGTAAACCATGGAAGTAATATTGAAT